CAGCCTGAAGAATCCTTTGTGTTTATTCCCTGTTGTTCTCTGCAGTGAGCTGGAAGCTCAGATCAAGGTCAGCCTGATGCTAGATGCTTAGCTTTTCATGAACTCTGCTAACCAACCGTCCCAGTACTGACTCCAGTGAATCTGCTCCCCTGCCTGAACCAGTTCCAGTATCATTACCCATGTTATTGTGCTTAAGTAAACTCGTTAAACTTTTTATCAGACTCCGTTGTGTTCTGCATATTGGGCTTTTCTGAAACCCATCATGACACACATAAACGTTCCACAGCTTTGAATAATAAGGTGACATGGGATTTCTCCAATTAATGACAAAAACAAGCATAAAACTAGTTCTGAAAGCATTTTGTTCTCTTTGAAAAAATAAATAACAGAAATACCCAATACTAACATTTCAGATGACAAACATTCATGCTGTTTTCAGACCTATCTTTTTGTGTGGCAGAAGAGAAAGTAATGTTGATGCAAGTCATCATCAAATACGCCTCTATGCAATAAAGATAAAGAACAGCTCAACCCTTTTAATGAACACATTATGCAGGACCGGAAATGATTCATTTAGACAGTGTAGATGAGTTCCTATGTGTATAATTAATCAACAAGCGCTTCATAAAAATCTAGCCTGTCTTCACAAATGTATCTCTCTCCTGTTTTCTTTCTGCTGGCTTCCTGTAAGCAGAAGAAGTCTTGATGCTTGATTTTTCTGTTCCTCTCTTGTTCAGCGTTATTTTTTTCACCCTTAGATCCACGGACCATATGGTTGATTTACTGGGTTTATGCTCTGAGGGGATCTGGTATTTCAGAAACATTCAGTGTTTTCAGTAGGTTTTTAAACTGTGAGTTTGTTTAGTTCAGTTTTTCTCCCTTTTCTTCATATTTTGTAAAGGTTGAAATGTATTTTTTGTTTTGATTTGCTATTTATATCTCAGTTTGAATTGTCCAGTACATTTTAAAACTTGCTTCAAAATGGATTTGCATGGATTTGACCATTTGTTTTATCTCTTTCTCTTCTTGAAAGATTCAGCATTTATTTTATTTGTAAATTTGCTTGCAATGCAGATTTGATCCCTTCGATCCTTACTGTAAAACAATAAATATGATCACAATAACAAAAATATTGTTATCTCAAGAAAACAAAAGTTGCTTTTTATATTATTTAATAATTCTTAATTCTTTTTATTGTAAGCAGGAGGGGATTTACCATTAGGCAATCCTGGCAGTTGCCTAGAGCCCCAAGTTCCCGGGGGCCCATAAAGCTGTTTACATGTATAGTTAATAAAACTAAGATAACCTTATTTGTGGACAATAATTATGCAAAATATTCAGAAGAATTTAATCGTCTATTAATCTGAGCTTTCAGCGGGTTGATGATTCTGATCAATCATTAGAACAAAATCTGCTTTAACTTTGGAAAGTAACTGAAATCCAGCTTTTATTGCCAAGAATTCCCTTTTTTCCCCAACTGACCCCAAAAGAGTTGAATAGATTAGTTTCTTTAAATAAGGAAAATGTGTAAAATCCCTTCAAAGGATAATGTTTTTGATCCATATTCTCACCTCTAAAGCTGATGCCAAACTCAGCTCCATGCTAATATCGCCTATCATCAGCAGCAGGGGGGGTGGGATTTACCTTTAGGCAATACTAGGCAGTTGCCTAGGGCACCAAGTTCCTGGGGGCCCCACAAAACTCTGTTTCCATGTATGGTTAATACAACTATTCCTTATTTGTGCACATTAATTATGTTTTTGATAAAAATCCTTTGGCTAAAATGCCATCAGAACGCTGATAATATTAAGTGTGTCTCAGCCCCCCCCCTTCAGTGTCCACCATATTGGATCAGTCCATTTGCTGCACATGTTCAGAAAGGTCCAAACAGACAGCAGCAAACCATTTGAAAACAAACCATGCAAAGAGCAGTGTTGCCAACTTAGCGCTTTAGTCGCTATATTTAGCCACTTTTCAGACCCCTCTAGCACTTTGATTTCTAAAAAGCTCCTAGCGCCAAATCTAGAGACTTTTTTATGCTACTGGAGACTTTGGAGACAACATCTAAAAGCAGCGAACTCTGCTCTCCAGAGCGAGTAGATTGGTAACCCCGCCTCCTGCTCTCCTCTATCTTGTCTGCTGTCATGATTCATGCAGCTATTATTTCATCCAAATGAAAAATGGAGAACAGATAAGCAGATCATGGCTTGTCTACAGTGAAAAGAAGGACTGGGTTATTTACTTTGGCCTTTTTGGAAACACAGGAAGGAGCAATCAGCTAAGTGAGCTTAGTGCTTGGAAAAAATCTTTCATTCCTTTAGAGACAGCATGAAAAGTCAGCTGAGTACAAAACATAGAGAGGAAAACAAGAAGAAAAGGGACAAGAAGAGAGGGACACAACCTAGAACAGATAATGGATGTCTGTTCTATTAACATTTCTCTATCTGTATGTTAGGAGAATTATCATTGATGATATGTGAGTTTATTACACCTTAATATTAGCTGCCTTTTGTGTGTCAGAACTGAGGTTTTCCCCAGTAGTTTATCTAAATAGGCCAGTTCCTCAGTCCGGCTATAAACAGTTATAATCTTCATTCTGATTGTGGCAAAGGTTTGTGAATAGAATGAGAGCGGCGTCCTTCAGCTAAGAACAAAGTGTAATATTTTGATAAGACTGGAGCCATGGATGTCTCCTCATCTGCTAACGTGTATGATGTATAATGTGATGATATGGCAGACTGGAGATGTATAAAATGCTTCTTTAACTGTTAATCAGGGCTCACTTCCCAGGAAGTGAGCCCGGCTGGTAAGCAGCTGCCTTCTGTAACTCTAAGCCACTTCTCTGATCTTAATAAGATTATAATTTCTATCAAATCTGTTGTCATGTCTCCTGGTTATTCAATAGATATATGTTATGATGTGTTATTTAAAGTCTTAGGGATGCAGCCGTTCCAACCGTTGCATTTCTGAATTCTCCCGAGTGAATAAAGTGAATGTAATTGATTGTTTAGCAAGGGGGCGGGATTGTTTTGCCATCAACACCTTTGTTTCTAGATGTTGGAGCTTGGCCTGTTTTCCAGTGTAGTCCTGTTTCTCTGACTGTGACTAACTGGATGTGCTCTCTTCATTCTCTGACACGGGAGCTGGCTCGGAGCTCGTCTGCCTGGCTGTGTGTTTCCTGGACGGGGCCGCCTGTGGAGCTGGTTGACAGTTGCCTTTTGTATCTATGCTTCTTTTTCTATGTCTGCTTCTGTCTCCTTGAACCCCAGTGGGCCTCAGCAGATGGCCGCTCACATTGAGCCTGGTTCTGCTGGAGGTTTCTTCCTGTTCAAAGGGAGTTTTTCCTCTCCACTGTCGCTACAAGCATGCTTAGTGTGAGGGATTGCTGAAGAGTCAATGAGTCGATGCAATCAGCTGGTTTTCCTTAGATAGAAAACTTTGAATCAATCTGACTGGATGATCTGGTGAACTGGAAAGTGACCTGAGATGACATGATGTGAATTGGAGCTATAGAAATAAACTGAACTTAAAATTCAAATACATTTACATGTTTAAACCAGAATGATTTGACATTTAAATATGACTTCCCTAAAACTTTAAAGAGTTTGTCCCAAGCAGTGTTAATTTCGTCAGCTTTATTAATTTAGTCTTAGTCACAATGACAAAAATCAATTTTAGTCTTAGTCATATTTAGTCATTTTAGTCAAAACTCTACATAATAAAACTTCTCCACACACAGCTTCTCTTTTTCTCTATTTTATTTACCGTATATCACACTGTGCAGAATAGAACTTCACACACTGACTCTCTTTCTAACATATATCCCTCTGCACACATTGAACCTTCTGTCTGCTTGTTTCATCATATCCACAAAGTCTTCATCCTCAATGGTCCTTGCAGGCAGGCCAGAACACCCAATCCACTTTACCACTGAGTTCTCCAGGGCTTTCTGCTCTTTGGAGTCAGGGGTGGGGGGGCATCTCTGCAGCAGACTTCCATCCTCCCCCAACCTCTGATCTAGCTGTGATGTCACTGGGTCAGGAATCTATTTAGGACGGAAGAAATTTAAACGATTAATATCCAGAGTATCAGTAGAACATCTTTCTTCTATGAAGAGAGACAGACAGATACAGGAACAGGAAGGCACACCCACACAGCCACATGCATGCACGCCCACCTACATATATATACATTCAGATGCATGCGCCCGTGTGCGCACTAACACACCCGTTCCTGCTACTACAGGCCCACCCATTCCTTACCTTCTTCCATATATCAGCTGTTGGCTCCTCAGAAGTCGCTGAGATTCGCTGTGTTCTTCCTCGCCATGTTGAAGCTGCAGACTCTTTGGTGGCGTCCTTACTGCGCTGTTTTCCTTCACATTGTAAATGAAATGGCTCCATACATCCAGGCGTTGTTTAACAAACCGCGCACCGGTATCCGCAATGACTGCGAAGTTAAGCTATGCTGCTACTAACTGAGAGCTGCAGGGCGCTGAGGGACAGGTGCCATGTGGGACAAACAGCGGAGCAACGCGTAATCCTCTATGAAGCTAAAGAAACACTTTTATTAACAATAAAATTTCTTAATGTCCATTCGTCAATGGATCGTAAATTTCGTCTGTCTTACTCTCATTGACGAAAATATTTTTTTTTATTTCTGTCATATTTTTTTTTCTGGAAACAATTTTTGTTTGTTATCGTCTCGTCATCGTCACGAGAAAAAGTGGCGCTGATGAAATATTTTCGTCATCGTCATGGTTGACGAAATTAACACTGGTCCCGAGTGATCTCCTTTTCAGGAAAAAAAAAACAGAGAGAGAATGCTTCAAGGGCCTGCCTTTAACAAATGTATTTATACAAAATGTGGAATGGGTCTGTTTTATGTGTCATCTTCTCAATTCAGAGGGCCCCCCTCCCTGTCTTTGCCTAGGGCCCCAAATTTCCTAAATCCGCCCCTGGAGTCAGCACTGAGGCAACAAGTTAAAGGCAGAGTGATGGGCCACAGCAGTTCATCTGGTTCCCACAGAAAGCTGGAGCTCCCCCTCCATAGCAGCAGCTGTACCTCTCTGCTGCAGGCAGCAACCTCCCCAGGCAGCAGCAACCTCCCCAGGCAGCAGCAGCAGGGGGACCATGTTCAGAGCCAGAGGACGGCCTGCCCTCCATTCCTCGTCAGTGAAATCCTTCCTCATTAAAAATAAAAGCACTTCCTCCCCTGCAGCTGCTGCTGTTGCTGCGTTCAGATGAAATCCCTCCTCATCCTGGCAACGAGCTGCATCAGGTCGGATCGAACAGATTGTGGTCTCTCTAATCTGTTGAGCAACACTAAAAGGCGGATATGAGCGCGGAAAGAGGAGGCGATAGGAGCAGGACTGAGCGAGGCGCGGCGCTTTGGCAGGATATTCGGACTGGCCTGGGCAGATTGCTTCTCCACCACTTTTCATTTTCAGGGATCGAGATCACGTCACAGAGAAGAGTCCGAGTTGATAAGCTGGAAAGGAGTAATGGTGAAGCTTTGTCGGTGCGGTTTCCCTGCAGGTATGGAGAGCATCGATGGGAGCGCGCACTGACGCGCACATTCCAGCTGCTGCTTTCTGCTGCCTCTCACTCTCACATGCAGTCACGGATCTTTATCTCTCTCCTCTCTCCCGGGGGGGACAGGAGAACATCAGCAGCTGGAGGGCAGGAGCTCCTGAGATGTCCATCCATCACGGCACGCTGCTCTTCCTGGGCCTCCTGCTGATGATCTCCGGGGCAATCATGGTGTTCTGCCTTGGAACGGGCCATGCAACTATCCCACTGTTTGTGCTCGGGGTATTTCTGGGCACGGGGGGAATAACCCTGGTGGTGGCGGGAGTTTGCATGGCTAAGAAGAATTTCCAGGTGGGAGTTCCTGGACACTTTCTGCTGCACCCCCCTACAGGCACACGGTTCAGCCCCCAGCAGGCCCTGGCCATACAAAGGTAAACCTCTGATAGGACAGGTAGAGCCAGTGTCTGACTGCCATTGGTGGTGGGATCTAGTTATTCCCAACTAAAGAATTTAGGGGGAAAACTTTGATTGTTTTTTTTTTTTTTTTTTTATTCTCTCTATATAAAAAAACAAACAAAAACAGCAACTCTGTTGCTCAAATTAGAAAATGTTTAACAACAAGGCTTAGGGACAGACTTGAATAATGCAAATGCAAAATGGAATTGAATCGTCTATTAATCTGAGCTTTCAGCGGGTTGATGATTCTGATCAATCATTAGAACAAAATCTGCTTTTGCTTTGGAAAGTAACTGAAATCCAGCTTTTATTGCCAAGAATTCCTTTTTTTCCCCAACTGACCCCAAACCAGTTGAATAGATTAGTTTCTTTTAATAAGGAAAATGTGCAAAAGCCCTTCAAAGGATAATATGTTTGATCTCAGCTCCATGCTAATGTCACCTATCATCAGCAGCAGGAGGGGATTTACCATTAGGCAACACTAGGCAGTTGCCCCAAGTTCCTGGGGCCCCCACAAAACTCTGTTTACATGTATGGTTAATACAACTATTATTTGTGCACATTAATTATGTTTTTGATAAAATGCCATCCGAACGCTGATAATATTCAGTGTGTCTCAGCCCCCCCCCCCCTTCAGTGTCCACCATATTGGATCAGTCCATTTGCTGCACATGTTCAGAAAGGTCCAAACAGACAGCAGCAAACCATTTGAAAACAAACCATGCAAAGAGCAGTGTTGCCAACTTAGCGCTTTAGTCGCTATATTTAGCCACTTTTCAGACCCCTCTAGCACTTTGATTTCTAAAAAGCTCCTAGCGCCAAATCTAGAGACGTTTTTCTGCTACTGGAGACTTTGGAGACAACATCTAAAAGCAGCGAACTCTGCTCTCCAGAGCGAGTAGATTGGTAACCCCGCCTCCTGCTCTCCTCTATCTTGTCTGCTGTCATGATTCATGCAGCTATTATTTCATCCAAATGAAAAATGGAGAACAGAGAAGCAGATCATGGCTTGTCTACAGTGAAAAGAAGGACTGGGTTATTTACTTTGGCCTTTTTGGAAACACAGGAAGGAGCAATCAGCTAAGTGAGCTTAGTGCTTGGAAAAAATCTTTCATTCCTTTAGAGACAGCATGAAAAGTCAGCTGAGTACAAAACATAGAGAGGAAAACAAGAAGAAAAGGGACAAGAAGAGAGGGACACAACCTAGAACAGATAATGGATGTCTATTCTATTAACATTTCTATATCTGGATAATGGGGCTGTTTTATGTCTTCTTAGTTCAGAGGGCCCCCTGCATGTCTCTGCTTAGGGCCCCACATTTCCTAAATCCGCCTCTGATCAGCAGTTATGCAGAATGTTCAGCCTTAGATCACGCATTTATTGGCCTGGTGATGAAACAGTCTCAATTAATTGCAGTGAAATGCTCACATTAACTGAATTGTTTTTTTCTTCTTTTTTTATGTTCTTCTGTGTCACACTTGCATTCTAATATCAGATAAAGATAACCCAGGCCAATATAAAATATTTTTTGTATATTAATAACAACCTTGGTCTGTCTAAAAAAAATAGTTTCTCTGTGATAAATCATGAATGAACTCTTTGAGGCAACAAGTAGTATGTATAGATTAAATAAACTCAGAAAGTAATAAATCTGGACTGAGTTACAAAACTGTTTTAGAGGGCTGTGGAATACAGGAAACCACAATGATAGACATTATCCATTATTAAAAAAAAAGAAAATAAAACCACACAAAAATAATAATACGTGAAGGATGGTGGTTCTGCTGAAGTAGCCAGACTACTGGAACAACTTTAACGGCTTTTCTTACCTGAGTTGAGTTGAGAGTTTATGATTCAGCTGTAAAAAAAGAAAGGAGACACAAGCAATGCTGACTGAACACAACATAAAAGATCGCCTCATGTTCGCCAAACAAATCACCATATAATCCCCTTTTAGGAAATATTCTATGGACTAATGGAGCAAAATATAACTTTGTTTGCAAGATGTTAGCTCCAGGATTTCCTACGTTTTACCCACAGTCAAACATGGTGGTGTTAGAGCAAAGCTTTGCAGGTTGCAGGTTGTCTGAAGGACCAGAGTAACCTGCAGTAACTGCATGGAATGTGGCATCTGGGAGGAACAATAATCTAATGAGCAAGGAAGCAAATCCATCTCTGAAGGACTCAAAAAGTACAAACGTTAAGGATTTTAAGTGTGTAAATTAAAACAGTTTTTAAACAGGATTGTTTCTCCTCCACACAGATGCAGCAGATTTATCACAACAAGTGTGTGGGGGCGGGGGACACACAAGTGGTTCTTATGTTAAAAGGAAATACTTTTAAAAATGGTGCCATGTTAACCCTAGGGCAAAAAATGATTTAAAAAAAGAACATGAAATCTGTAAGGGGCACTTAGTCTTTTCACAACACTGTAAGTCTCTGTAGAGTATTGATTGGAATGTGGTAATATAAGAAGATGCAAAATGTAAGGATGTTCAATATGAGTGTAACTTATCCTGACGGCTTGAAATGTGTGAATCGCTTAAAACGATGGCAGCTGCTGTGATGTGGCCTAAAGACAGGAAGCCCCTGGCACAGAGAACAATGGGCTCTGCAGATCAACCAACTGGGCTGCGTTTCTATTTCCTTCACTTGTTTAGGGAGAATCAGCAGAGATTCCTGAGAACGATCACAGGTTAAAGCTGACAGCATGGCAAAAAAATATATAAAAATCAGGAAAACCAGAAGACGATGGAAAATAACTGATTGTAGATCAACCTGTCAGGTTATGCAGCAGCAGTCCAGAGAGGCGGTTTTATAACATCATTAATAAATCAACTTGTTTATACAAAGTAGTTAAGATGTGAGAAATATCATGTTGTAAATGTCTATTAAAGCTGCTCCCATATAAAGAGCTGATTATGTAGAGGATGAAGAACATGATGTCCCTGTGTCGGTCAGCCTGTTGGTGCTGAGGTGAAGCATGGCGGCTCCAGACCGTCAGCAGACAACACTGCAACACTGTAGGACCACTGTAGCTTTATGGCTAAATTTAACACAGATACAAACTTTGTAATCTTTATTCGCACAAAGGCCTTCACTAAATAGTCACATTTGCATATTTTTGAACATAATAAAAACCTTTACTGTGAAAAGCTTCACATATCTGATAACTGACTTTGCTATTGGACTCTAACAGCCAAAGGCTGATATCCTCTATCCTCAGTAAGGTGATTGCTTTAATTAGTATTATCTTTTATAGAGTTTTTAAATATCTTTTTATAAATATCCATGTGGGTTCCGACTGGTCAGAAACCTGTTTAGAAGTGACCATAGAAACAAGTGATTGTTGACTGTAGCGAACAATATGCAGCTTAATTAGATAAATGTATGTAAAGAAATATCTGTAAAATGCAATAAAATACATAAAGATAAATGCAAAGAAATCAAAGCATGTATTAAGGAAATATATTTATTTTTACAATCAATATTCATTACTCACAGACTAACGCTTTATGAGTCACATTACAGTATTAAGTATTTCAATGTTATATTGAGTAAATAAGCAAAGCTTAAAAATGAAATCTAATGACTTTAATCAGATGTATAATAAGTTAGGCTTAGTACTACCTAAAACATGCCTATTACTGTGCTTTTGATAATAATTGATAGGACTTGAATATGGAATATAAAAGTGTGATGTCCTGATAATGACACTGTAACTAATGATGTAATGAACGTGTTTAATGCGTCTTTCTCTTTGTGTGGACGGTTTGGCTGTGAGTGAAGCAGAGTTTAGTTGGTGTGATCACTGAATGGATACATTCATGACTCAATTATACTCATTTTTGTTTCCACTTATCTATTTGCTTGATGTCGGTTTCATTATGATGTGTTTTCAGAGGCAAATCATATGAATAAATGTGTCTTATAAAGTCTATAAACCAAAGCTTTTTCTGACAGCCCCGCAGTGCCTCCACGAGGCCACTAGGGGTCAGGCCAGACAGGTTCCGATGCCCAGAAACAACCAAAGTCAGGCACGCCCAAACTTGGTCCCCCCTGTCCTGCAGGGTTTTTTTTTAAGTTTTTTTTTGACGTTTTTCTGCTTTTGCACAGATGATTCTGATGTTTGCAGTTCAGCCTGTTAATCAGCTATCAATGAAAATCATCTGCACTGAGCAGAAAACCTCTAAACCTGCAGGACAGCAGCCCTCCAGGACCGACTTTGGGCATGCCTGATCTAAGTTAACTTGATGCACCTTGCTCTTTGCCTAGGTCTAGTTGGGTTATCTCTGAATGAGCCATATTGAGACTTAACCTGTGTTTCTAAACGTCCCATTCCTCAGCTCAGCTGCTGGCAACATCTGTTGCCCGAACCTAAAGGTTGTCCCCCAAAGAAGAACCAGCTGTTTTCTGGATGTTCTGGGGTTCTGTTCTCTGAAATTCACAACCAAATTGTGACCATACTGGTTTCCCATCACTGCTGCGCAAAAATATGTTCACTTGTTCATTAAAAGGTCCCCCTTTTTCATCATTCTGCTTCATTCTATCTCTATTCTCCCACTCTGCAGAATCTGTTAGTTCAATCTCTAACGTTCTGCTCTCTCTGCTTTTTCTCATAGTAGCTTCATCTGGTCTGTTTCTGTTTGGCTGTGACTCCATCCTGGAGAGAAATATCAGCTGTGCTGCTGCCATCAACACCTTTGTTTCTAGATGTTGGAGCTTGGCCTGTTTTCCAGTGTGGTCCTGTTTCTCTGACTGTGACTAACTGGATGTGCTCTCTTCATCCTCTGACATGGGAGCTGGCTCGGAGCTCGTCTGCCTGGCTGTGTGTTTCCTGGACGGGGCCGCCTGTGGAGCTGGTTGACAGTTGCCTTTTGTGTCTCTGCTTCATTTTCTATGTCTGCTTCTGTCTCCTTGAACCCCAGTGGGCCTCAGCAGATGGCCGCTCACACTGAGCCTGGTTCTGCTGGAGGTTTCTTCCTGTTCAAAGGGAGTTTTTCTTCTCCACTGTCGCTACAAGCATGCTTAGTGTGAGGGATTGCTGAAGAGTCAATGAGTCGATGCAATCAGCTGGTTTTCCTTAGATAGAAAACTTTGAATCAATCTGACTGGATGATCTGGTGAACTGGAAAGTGACCTGAGATGACATGATGTGAATTGGAGCTATAGAAATAAACTGAATTGAATTGAATTGAATTGAATGTGCCTAAAAGTCAGATTTTGGTTAAAAGTTTCTGGTTTTAAAGGGAATTGTAACAAACAAAAGCAAGAAAAAATATAATGGGGAATATAATGTATTGTTCTTAATGTTTCCTTTTAAAGATTTAAATTTTTCAATTTTACTAATTACTAAGCTTGTATAAGGGACCAGTGTGTATCATTTCTATTGTCTCAAATGGCCCATAGTGTCCATAGTTTGGACACCACTGTTTTTTAATGTACTTTGAATATTCTTAAAAATGTAGTTCTTATAGAGTCTCTCACACTTTTTCACCAGGAGGTTAGATCGAATCCGACGGGAGATTTCAACCGACGCTGTCAGTACGACACCGGAGCCCGAACCCTCCCTGCCATCCACCCCGCCTCCCTGGACCATGGAGCCGCCTCCGTCGTATGACACTGTGATGAAGAGCCAGGAGCACAGCGAGCAGAGAAACCAGGAGCGCAGAGAGGAGATGAACCAGGAGCAGCAAGAACAGCCAGACAATGAACACGATGAACAGCAACATCTTGAACAAACTGAATACATCCATCAGGAGCACAGCCAGCATCTTTAAATTTTCTCTTGGACATTGGGAACTCCCTTCAGTGCCTACTGTTCCTCTGAGGACTAAACCTTCAGTGCTACGGATAAACCCATAGCTACAAACCTCCTCTGAACCTTGAAACTGACCAATTAAGATTCAGTATTTGCTCAGGATTTCCATATAAAGTTAGAAGGAGACAAGTATAAAGGTATTAAGTATAAAGGCTATGAGAAAATTCCAGGTTCAGTTAAAGTATCTTTCCTTCCTTTTAAGCTCTGTTCAAATACAGGAAGTACATAATTACAATTTCATATATCTGCCTCATGCATACTGCTTACACACATATATTGCTTTGATTCACTATAGCAGCAACTCATATAGTCTCATGTTTTCTGATTCGACCTGTTTAACAGTTAATCAGTCTTATATTTTTTTTATTAATTCCCCTTCCTGCTTCTTTGAGGCCTTGGACCCAGCAACCCCTAAAAAACGATCACAGCCTGGTAAAATTAAAGGATTGGCTTTTATTAAAGTCGAGGACAGGCTGCCACATCCTACATGAGGTTCATACTCATCACAAAGGCCTGAAGAGTCTGGATCTTGAGTTGGGAGATTGTGCAACCTCCAATTTAATATAAAACATTCTAGATTTGGTATTTTGGAATATGAAACTTTTAAGAAATAAGCAGGTTGCATAAAACTGTTGGTTTAAAATTATTTTAGGTTCAATCGTATGGTCTTGAGCACAAAGACAGAAATGAATGCATCGCAAACTTAAAAGGCCGTTTTTGGAACTTTATGGACAGGATGGAAACATACTTTGTAGTTGATCAGACATGGCTCAAGTTTCTTATATGATAATAAAAAAAAGGATTTTTATAATGTTTTGTTGGAGTTCTGACATTAAATATTTTCTTAATTGTCTTGATTTTTAAGGTTGGGCTGTAAAGTTACAGGAAAATCTCAGAATAAATCTACGGGGGATGGAGGGAACTGATGAAGGCAGCGTTCAAGTTTCATTAAGAATTGAAGTGTCATGATCGTGGCCCTGATAGCTGACCTAAGTGTTCATTTCACTCACCTGCTTAACTCTGCCTGGTTACTAATCAGTATTCATCTTATCCACCTGCTCCTGCTGCTTCATCGACGGCTCAGTCCAGCTATCAGGGCCAGATTATTGAGTTTGTGCTTTTGAATTAGACTTTAATGCCTTAGTAGTAATGCTTGGTATGTCCTATCACTTACGTGCTGAGCCGCCCTGTTCCTCGTTGGCTCAGCAGTGGGATCTAGTTTAAAGTTCTGCAGTTTTCCTGGTGTCGTGTCTTGTTTCTGCCTCTCAACCACTGAGCCTGCCTGTTCTGCATTTGAGCGTGTCTGCCTGACCACTCTGTTGGACTCGTGAAACCCTGAACCTGCCTGAGCTCTCTGAGGATTCCTGGAAACCTGGATGTGGGTGTAATTTTCTATGTGGGCTACGGACTCCTGGATCTCAGAACCGACCTGCTATGAACTGTTTCCCTGACCTGGCTTGGACTCCTGCCTGTTCATCAGAGGTTGCTGCGTCGGAGACACTCTGGGCGGCTCCCGCCTGATCTCATTGGCAGTCGATCGGCTGGATCCTGCCTCGCTCTGAGATGGACTGAACAGTTAAACCAGGTAAGTGACTCACATTAATTTTCATCTTCCGTTAGATTACTGAGGTCAATTACGTTTTTCTCCCTCAACCAGAGCGCCAGTGATGGGTTGTGTCATACCTCCCCCCCGCAGTTGCTGCTTATCCGCAGATCCATAGCTCCGTGTGTCTGTTTGCTTTGTTAAAAAACTTTTTAAACTTCCCTCTGTCGGTCTCGCCCGAGCCCCTTGACATTAAGGGGGTAAATACTAGTGATGGTGAGATGAAGCCTCATGAGGCATTGAACCGTTTGGCCAAATTGCTTCAACGATCCCCACACTTCATGAGGCTTCATGTGAACATGTCACCACCTACTGGTGGACAGCAGAACTACAGTTGGTAATAAAATCTGTGATTTTTTTTGCAATTGTTTTTCTTTTTTTCCCCTTTTAATTTCCCTTGAAATTGTTAATGGTTGGTGTGTATAATAAAATCTTTTGTAAGTTTTTTTTTTGTGTAAAATTTCCTAGAACACTCATTTAAGGTGAACCGTTTTTCTGCCATTTTAGTGAAATAAACTTTTTTTTTTTTTTTTAATCAGGTTGGAAGTTGTGTTCAACCAATCTTTTGACTAAACCGACCTAATTTACCCAATCTATATTTTTACTTGGGCAAAACAATGCAAATTAGTCTCATCAGCCAAAATAATTAAGTTTAATCGCAACTTTCAAAAGAGAAAGATTGGTCTTGAACTGTCAACCTCAAGAGTGAGAGCCTGTCTCTTACAGACAACGCCACTCATGTTGACAGTGACTCACTTGGGAGAAAATCCTACTTAATACTAACGTGTTAACACTGACTTTGTTCGGTGGTTTGCTCAAATTTTGATTATTACATTGTTTATTCAAACCAAATTAGCTTTAAGCAACTACATTGGTTGGAAAAACAACCAATTTATTATTAGAATCAATCCAAACTTTATCCAGCTGACAGCAGCTCTCCTCCAAACTCCCACATCTTGACTGAATACTGAGGCTGTTTAGATGCCTGTCAAAATTCTTATCCACCTGTTCCTGTTCCTTTAAATAAGGCTCAGTCCCAGCTATCAGGGCCAGATCATTAAGATTACTGATGTGATGTTGAGATCATAGCTCATGTTTTAGTTCATGTTCTCATTCTTGGAGGCCAGCGGATGAGAAGTTTTTATTGTTTCGTAGAGTTCCTGATCATATCATGTCTCTTATCCACTGAGTGTGCGCTGTTCCTGTCTTGGTTCAATGGAGGGAGGGAGTTTTAGTGTACCATGTTTACCTGCTATCCTGCCTTGTTTTGCCTCTCAACTACTGAGCTTGCCTGTTCCCATCTTCACTCTGGACGGTGCCCGCCACATCTCATTGGCAGTCCATTGGCTGGATCCTGCCTCGCTCTAAGGAGATGGACTGAACTGTTAAACCAGGTTAGTGACTCGCATTGATAATCATCTTCCGTTAGATTATCGAGTTCAATTACCTTTTTCTTCCTCAACCAGAGCGGCTCCCTTCTCCCTCTGTCTGTTTCAACTGGATGCTGGATCCAATGTTCTGAGCTAATTACAGTTCTGAGGATTACAGCCTTGACTCTTCAGCTGGAAGCTGAAATATTATTAGATATTACTTGTTAGTAAAATCAAAGACATGTACTTGATTCAAGTACTGAAAGAAAACCTCCACAGTAATGAAAACTAGTAAAGAGAAATGATGGAAGTGGCTTTTTTCATCTTGCCATTAAATGCTTTCCATTTGTTGCTATAGCAACCACCTCGCTGGAACATATTTAACATTTCCAACTCCAAACTACATAATAGTTGAGCACAAAGATTCTTATTGATTCATATTTTACGTCTGACATATTGTGGTATGGAGTGATCTTTCAATAAGGACATTGTTTTATGCAGAATCTGTAGGGGGAGAACTTTAGGTGATAGACACGAGGCCTTTCCAGCTTAAAGACTTAAAGCTAATCCCCAAAGATTAATTATCAAAATAGCAGTTAAAACATTTGAAATGCAAGTTGCTATAATGCCAATAAAGATTTTTTTATTATTTCATTTTAGATAGACTTCTTATCAAAGCAAAAAATAAAACATTAAAAAAAATCCTATGAAACTGATTCTGCTTTTACAATTTGTTATCTTTGAAAGGTCAAAAACAAACTTCCTGGTTGGATAACAAGAATTTTACATTTAATATATTTTTTGGTCTAACTGAAAGCCATGAATGAAGAAGTCTTTTCAGCAGCTCTGGAGACCGAAGGCCTTTTGAATTGGATGCCAGAGGTCCAAGTATGTTCATAGAGATAAATCACAGTAAAGTCAGCTACAGCTAGATCAGATGTATTAAATGTCAGGTAAACACATTGAGGGAGGATAATAAAACAGCAAATGCAAAGATTGCACTTAGTGCTGTTAGTGCATTCCATTTCCATGAGGAATTTATTGGATAGGAGTCAACAGATTGATGCTACTGTAGCCTCTTAAAGACACCAAATTGGGCGATCCTTTTAAAAGCTGGATTACGTGTGACTCCTGCACTGGAAAGCAGTGACAGCTGAATGCTAACAGCTCTTTGTTACTCATCGTTCAGCTGAACAGCCACAGTTTGCAGACTGCCTGGTGTTAGTTTTGTGTGACATTGCCATAAACCTGAGTTAACAAATAGCTGAGCTGCTTTCTCAGGCTGGTATAAACAGTAGATTGTTTATTCAAAGAGAGGAAATCCCTGGAGAGGAAGAAAACGAAGATATGAACCAAGCAGACTCTGACAGCTTACTGTGCACGGCTCATTGCTGAGTAGCAATGTCTGCTTTTTTTTCTTCTATGCAGTAGTCTGTAGCAAGGTGACCTTTCAGGTACAGACGCACACCTGCAATTTTATACCTGACCTGAGCAGGCTGTCTGGAGGCTGTAATAAGCAGCCGAGTGGAACCGAGTTCCTCCACCTTCACCTTCAAGCTCCGTGTCACAAAGAAAGCACTCAATCTTTTCTCTATGAGCTTTAGGTTCACATTTTATTTGGCCGAAAGGGTTTGTGAGGATGGTGGAGGGGAAACCCTATCGATACGGGCTGATAGTGGCCGGACTTTCTGTGCTGGCCATGGGCCTCTTCATCATGATACAGGAGCGGCCGCACGTCTATGTTACAATGAGCGTCCTTGGTCTCGTCATGGTGTGTGCTGGGACAGTGTGGAGCCTCTGCCAGTGCTATCCCAAGGTACGCTCAGATTCTGACATGCAGGATGTTGGAGAAGAAGGTTTCCTAAAAAGAAGTCGTGTGTTTGTTAGGTCATTGTGACGCCTGTGAGTCAGAAGGAAAGCCCGGTGGATTTAGTTTGCTCTTCACTTGAAACCAGAGATGAAAGGTACCGTCTAACACACAAGAACACACTTACACAGAGCCATGCCGGTTATTTAGGTCTGGCTGATTTCCTGAGGGCCGTCTGCCAATCTCGCACCGCTGAGTGTCCATCATGTAGTCTGAGCACGGTGACGGCAGCAGAGCCTCAGGGGAGGGGATAGTGAGTCTGTTACGAAGCCTGATAATATTTTAGGAGCAGTCCCATTTAAAACAAACAGAAGTAAAAATCTATCTGAAGTTGTTTTTGTTTTCTAAATTACAGTGAGACTTGGATTAAAAATTAAGAAATAACTAAAATGAATGAAATCAAGAATTGTCTATTAGCACTTTAGCTGCTATTATTCCTAAAAAAGTAGTTATTAGTTTAGTTGATAAACTTTGAAAATTACAAAATGGACAATTTATTAATATAATGATCCCTCCTCCTCCTCCTCATGCTGCCAAACCAGCTTATGCTGCAAGTCAGCAATCCCCGAGCTGATTCCTAAAGCGTTCACTAGAACAGAAATTACACCAATAAAGCGGAAATAAACTGGCTTTTTAACTTTCTAACATTTAGAGTTTGGAGGTTTTGTGTATTGTTATAATAAAGAAATAAGTGATGCAAATGTTAAGTTTACCTAAAGATTAATTCAAAAAGGAACAAAAATATATATATTTTTTAAATATTTAATCTCTTACTTAAATCAAACGTATTACGATGTCTCCCCCCTTTATCTCAAATTTTTGATTTGAACATAATTTGGTTTCTTTTATTTTTCTCAATTGGAGCAAATTTAGAGATTAGAAGAGATGAGGTGGAAATCCAGGGAGGAAAACCTTTAGGGTAGATGGGAATTTCAACTTACCGTAACAGAAAATTAAACCTCTTGATTTGATCAGAGTCCTGTTGTGTCACCGTGCGATGAAGAGGATCTAGTTTGGTTAAGAGAGAGAGACCCTGACCGCTTCATTCCCAGCTCTGCTGGCAGGGAAATCTCAGCACAACCGTAGCAGCTGAAGGACGTTCTGCAGAGAATTAGTGCTTTGTCCAAAGTTATTGGATAGTTTCTCACCTTGGATCTCTCCTAAGCCTAATTAATCAAATGTAGGAGAAAAGAAAAATTAAAATGAAGCAAAAAATAGGAAGAAATGAAAAAAGACTTTGCAAGAAAATTACACGTAAGGAAAGACATATGGTGGGATATGACTGGAACCGAAAACTTAAAGGCTTGGTAGATCCGACTGGGCGTCTTCTGGCTTCTGTGTTTTTCAGTCTGTCTCGGATGGTAGAAATAATCATCAGAGTGTCATGATGCAGTGCTCACTCTGCCAGCGGAAACATTTACCACATTAGCATGTTGCTTGCCTTGGAGAAACGCTTTCAAAAAACATCTGTCTAGAAACATTGGTCTGACTAAAACTAAAGACACTTCATGCTGAGAGGAGGAAAACAGAACCTTTATTAAAAACCTCGGTGAGTCTAAAAAAGCAGAAAAAGATGCTTGACAGGCTTTTAACCAAGTCATTTAGTTTAACAGTTTAAGGGTCCAAAACAGTGCACACTATTACAACTTTAGGAGAATATCTGACAGGTTGAGTGGACGTTTTTGAAGGGACTGAAGCTGAAGTGGCGTCTCGCAAGATTGAATTGACCAAAAATGGCAACAGAAGCAAAAATCCAAAAACATAAATCCTCAGAATCCACAAAAATACAGAAAAACCAGGAAAACTCACTGGAAGGGGATGAAATGACAACAAACCAGCAACAGTGACTGAGCAGGAGGTGTATATATGGGAGAGAGAAAAAAGAGCAGGCTAATCAGCAGATTGGGAGCAGGTGTGAACAGAGGAGACTAGAAGGGAAAAGGAGACTGAAACACGAGGGCAACAGAGGGGAAACAAGAAATACCTAAGAACTCAAATACCATCAAAATAACAAGAATAACACAAAATGGAAATAAAACCAATGAAAACTCAAAGATACAGAACAGAACCATGAAAACATCTGAGTGATATGATGATGGTTTCAGCTCCATCTCGATAAATCCTTCTGCACAGGCCGTGATGGAAGCAGCTCTATGTGCAAAAGTTCCGATTTTCGAGCAGATTTTATCTTCGTACAGTAGACACTCATTCCATCCTCTTCTAATTTATGCTAGAAAGCTGTTTTCAAGAGCAGAGTGAGCGGAAGGGAAGAGATAGCGCTCTGACATTTGTGACCGAGGAGGATGAATTAGTTGGTAACTCGGGAGCAGAGGACTGTTAAGAATCTCTTGATTAAAGCGCCGGAGCCAGAAACGCCACTCTCACACGTCTCCTGCCTGAGTGGCTGTAATTACTGGGGTGTCTGATAAAGACATGCCTGCTCAGCAACGCTCCTCCTCACAGTTAAAAAAAGAAAAGTAAGAAAATTGGGACACTGTGATGAAACTGGACTTCTATTTCTGTCCCTCCCTTCTTTTTACCCCCCCACTACTGCTGCTGGCTTGGATTCCAGGCAGGCTGAGCTTCGGTCGGATTCCTGCGGTCAGAGAGAGAGCAGTGGGCCACATCTGAAGAGCCAGTGTCACAGCTGTCCCACTCTGCATCTGGTCTGAAGGAGAGAGTCGCCGTGATCCCAGCAAGCTTCCCAGCTGAGGACTGGAGGGATACCAGTTAAAGCTGTTCAGTAAATGACAGCATCAGTGCAACATGATACAACTCTAGTGCCGTTATTGAAAGTAGAAAATCATTTGTGAACTGGTGCTGCTGGGAAAGATGAATAAAGTTGAACATGTTTTATTCAATAGTCCCAGAAGGTGGTGCTGTTTACTATGAAAAATGTAAAAAGATTTTAATTCCTGTTGAAAAACTGCTGCACATCTAATTTATCAGCAATAAAATCTTTACCTGATTACCTGCAGAGACCCTGTAGGTCCATCTACACCCTGAACCGGGCAAACTGTTATTCATTAGCTATAGCTGCTTTAATTATTAGTCTTGAGGAACAGCTTTGCAGCTGCAGTTCTTTGAATTGTTTTTTTTTTTATTTTTTTGCAGCAGACTCCTTGACGTATCAAATAAAGCAGGTCCTGTGATTCCCTGGTGGCAAAATACAAAATGAAAAGTATCTTTGTTTTCTTTCTATGGGAGATTTTACCCTGTGCAGCATGTTTATCATATGATACTTATTCTGTGCTGTCCATAAAATCCCACTGATCCACTGAGACATGAAGTCTCTGCAGAAAACATGAGTCTCAGGTTTGGATTAATCAGACAGCTGGAAGCCAAAGCTGCCTGAAGGGGAATGTGGATAAGAGGCTGTAGGTTATCTCTTTAAGGCTTATGTCATTTACTTGGTAAAATTCAATATCATACCAAAACGCTAAACTAGATTGGAGCAGCTGGAAAGGAAGACATCATTTAAGCTCAAACTTCAGATCCTCAGCTAAATGAAAGGCTGTACAGGAGGATCTCATCAGGAGTCTGATTGGGAACGTTACAGAAACCTGCAGGAATCCCTCCAGCGAGCTGTGGATGTTTCTCCCAGTGGGATACGTTCGTCCATCCTGCTTATGTCCTGAGCTATCTCTATAGTTCTGCTGCTATAGGCTTAGACTGCTGGAGGACATAGGGATCCCTTTTTCATCATTCTGCTTCATTCTATCTCTATTCCCCCACTCTGCAGAATCTGTTAGTTCAATCTCTAACGTTCTGCTCTCTCTGCTTTTTCTCATAGTAGCTTCATCTGGTCTGTTCCTGTTTGGCTGTGACTCCATCCTGGAGAGAAATATCAGCTGTGCTGCTGCCATCAACACCTTTGTTTCTAGATGTTGGAGCTTGGCCTGTTTTCCAGTGTAGTCCTGTTTCTCTGACTGTGACTAACTGGATGTGCTCTCTTCATCCTCTGACATGGGACCTGGCTCGGAGCTCGTCTGCCTGGCTGTGTGTTTCCTGGACGGGGCCGCCTGTGGAGCTGGTTGACAGTTGCCTTTTGTATCTATGCTTCTTTTTCTATGTCTGCTTCTGTCTCCTTGAACCCCAGTGGGCCTCAGCAGATGGCCGCTCACACTGAGCCTGGTTCTGCTGGAGGTTTCTTCCTGTTCAAAGGGAGTTTCTCCTCTCCACTGTCGCTACAAGCATGCTTAGTGTGAGGGATTGCTGAAGATTCAATGAGTCGATGCAATCAGCTGGTTTTCCTTAGATAGAAAACTTTGGATCAATCTGACTGGATGATCTGGTGAACTGGAAAGTGACCTGAGATGACATGATGTGAATTGGAGCTATAGAAATAAACTGAATAGAATTATGTTCCCACATCAGCTGAGATTAATCTTTGATTGAGCTTCCCATGGATGACGTATCTCCCCACCCCGTCTATAAGGCCCACTTTCACCACAGAAATCTCTCAGCTGCTTTTGACCAAGATCTCAGTCTTTTAGTTAGGATTCAAATGACCAATGAATGAAGGAGACTGTTGAAGATTTAGGGCTTTGCTTTTTGACTAAGATTCTTTATTAAAACATAGTGAAGCAGTTTTTGTATTACTACGGAATAAGCCCTAAACTATTACCCATCACCTGCTCAAGAGCTTCTCATAAGATGAGAGGATGCTTGAACTTCTCCAGTTGTGGCAGAAAATCGCACCAACCTGGAGGAAGCAGTCCACTTTTTTCCAGATGAAACTAATGTCTAGACTTAGAGGAGCTTTGCAGCTAATGGTCCACATGAAGGCAGAAGATTAGAGCTTTAACACACCAACATAAGCGGTAACTCCTCATAAATCAGGCATTTGACCTTGCTATTCCCAGAAAACCAATCTTTGCACCCAGAATCCTCCTAGTACCACCTGAGAAAATTATTTGAGGGCATGGTTGTAAAGCTTCCACAGATTCACAAAACACTGTCAGATATCATGGTGGAGCAGGTAAAGGGTAAAGATCTAGTTTGAGCTCAGTCAGTCAGTTGGAGCATCTGTTCTCGTCACCGAAGGGTAAATGAGCCAGAAAGGTTGAGAAGTATGATCCTTTAGTTGCTGGATCAAACTATTTTTACAGAACTTTTCAGATCCTCTATGTTAAATAGAAGAGATGTTTCAGGTATGACAACAAGAGGGACATATTTAATTGTGAAGATGAAGGCTTTTGTCTTTGGCGATTAAAACTTGAAGATAAAAAAAAACCCTGATATGTTTATGAATCTCATGGTCTTTTTTCTGTGTTAATGCTTTTCTCCCAAAAGCAGCGCCACAATAACATTTACCTAAATGAGTGGAGAGTTTCATTAATGTCTTCTAAACACTAATTTCTGAGGTTTTATTCACAGTATTAAACTCAAATCTGCCTTTTGTGGAAAGATGAACGCTTTGTTGGGGACTTTGAAGATCTAAACATGTGAACCCTGCATCCGGTTCTGCTGGGGAATTTCTTAGCTTAAGCTAATTCTGAATGGAGGAAGATACTTTTTTTACGTCCTGCTCCAGATTGTTCATTGGTTTAGACTTTAATTGGGTCAATCTAATACAATAATGTAGTTTGATCTAAACCTTTCCTTCCAATCTGTAAATGTATGCTTAGTGTCATCATGCTGGTTACAGTGCTAAGCCTGTTGCAACCTTTAAGTTATTTTAGGTTAATCTGGTTTTTAGCATCATTCATTTACTCATCATCTTTCTCCCCTTGCTGCATAAAAAGCGTCTCCACAGTATCATGCTGCCTCCATGATGTTTTATGCAATGACATGTTCCAGGTGACATGCAGTGTCAGCTTTCCATCATTATATGTTGCATGCACAGGCAGGGGATGATCGCCCCCCCACCTTGTGGCCCAATTGTTGAAAAATATGTGCTAAACTACCATCTATGGAACCAAATCGGGGCTAAAGTGTCTCTTTGCGAGCCAAAGTGCATCCTAAGGTGCTCTGTTTGGAGTCAAAACACAGCATATACAGCCTTATCCATGTGCACAAGAAGTTGCATCTTAGCAGCGGGGGGATTTAGCATTAGGCAATACTCGGCAGGTGCCTAGGGCCCCAAGTTCCTGGGGGCCCCATTAAACTCTGCTTCCATGTATGGATAATACAACTATTCCTTATTTGTGCACATTAATTATATTTTTCATAAAAATCCTTTGGCTAAAATGCCATCAGAACGCTGATAATATTAAGTGTGTCTCAGCCCCCCCCCCTTCAGTGTCCACCATATTGGATCAGTCCATTTGCTGCACATGTTCAGAAAGGTCCAAACAGACAGCAGCAAACCATTTGAAAACAAACCATGCAAAGAGCAGTGTTGCCAACTTAGCGCTTTAGTCGCTATATTTAGCCACTTTTCAGACCCCTCTAGCACTTTGATTTCTAAAAAGCTCCTAGCGCCAAATCTAGAGACTTTTTTCTGCTACTGGAGACTTTGGAGACAACATCTAAAAGCAGCGAACTCTGCTCTCCAGAGCGAGTAGATTGGTAACCCCGCCTCCTGCTCTCCTCTATCTTGTCTGCTGTCATGATTCATGCAGCTATTATTTCATCCAAATGAAAAATGGAGAACAGAGAAGCAGATCATGGCTTGTCTACAGTGAAAAGAAGGACTGGGTTATTTACTTTGGCCTTTTTGGAAACACAGGAAGGAGCAATCAGCTAAGTGAGCTTAGTGCTTGGAAAAAATCTTTCATTCCTTTAGAGACAGCATGAAAAGTCAGCTGAGTACAAAACATAGAGAGGAAAACAAGAAGAAAAGGGACAAGAAGAGAGGGACACAACCTAGAACAGATAATGGATGTCTATTCTATTAACATTTCTCTATCTGTAGAATGGGGCTGTTTGATGTGTTGTCTCCTCAGTTCAGAGGGCCCCCTGCCTGTCTTTGCCTAGGACCCCACATTTCCTAAATCCGCCCCTGCATTTTAGTCTCATCTGATTAAAGGGTTAAATCATATATTTCAAACTTCCTTCTTCCATAAATGGTAGACTGAATAGTTTCCACACTGCCAGTTGTTCACTAATGTTGCACTAACTTGTATTTAGGGTTATAAGAGTAAAGGAGGGGCTATAAACATTTGCACAATATAATTCTAAGATTGTTTTTTGAGGAAAAAAATGAAACCAACATTTCGTTTCTCTTTCACTTCACATATGAAGGTTTGTGTTTATTTATCCCAAACTCATCAGAGGAAAGTTTACCACCTGTTCCACACTAAGAACAGCTACAAGCTCTAAACATCTAAAAAATACACAATTCTACTTTTAAAAGCTGTAATATGATAAAATGTCCAAAGTTCTGCTGTGAGTTGATCAGCAGCAGCAGCAGCATCAGAGGTTCCCTGAGGGAAGTTTTCCTCTGATTGACATGCAATCATCCGGCAGAGCGTGAAACATGACTCCTCCACAGAAAGAGCTGCTTTAACGGAGACAATCATTCGATACTAAAGCGGTGGCGTGAGCCGCGGAAACGTCACCAGTCCCCGCCTTAAATAATAACAATCAATTCTTGGATTTTTTCTGCTCCTTGTAAATCAGAGCAGATGGTCTGAGGCTGATTCAGGCTGTGGCACGCGGGACCCGCAGCAGCTGGAGACACAAAAACCCCAAACATCTGTAGAAGTCAGACTGGATGAAAAACTCTCATTAGTTCTTTATTTTAATATTTATCCGGAGTTAAAATAAAAAAATCCCAGATG